GGGAGGGAGGAAGGGAGGGAAGAAGGAAGGAAGGAAGGAAGGAAGGAAGGAAGGAAGGAAGGAAGTAAAGAATGTAAACTAGTACAACCACTTTGGAAAACAGTTTGGCAATTTCTTATAAATTTATACACATATTTATATGACCCACCAATCCCACTTCTGGGTATTTCTCCAAGGGAAATGAGCTCACATATCCACACAAAGATTTGTAAAAGAATGTTCAGAGCAGCTTTATTCATAACATCCAAAAACTGGAAATAATCCGAAATCCATCATAGGGCAACTAGACAGACAAATTATGGTGTGTCCCTAAAATGGAATACTACTCAGCAGTAACAAGGGACGAACTCCTTACTGATACATATAACACGTATGATTCACAAAAACATTACACAGAGTAAAAGAAGTTGGATATAAAAGTGTACTGTTCTATGATTGCATTAATATGAAATTCTAGAAAAGGTAAAACTAATCTACAGAGAAAGAAAGTAGTCCAACCACTTCTGTGGTTGCCTAAGGGTTTTGGTGGAGAGGAAGGAGATTAACGATCAACTACAAAGGAACTAAAGGAAACTTTTTGTGGTGAAACTGTTCTATATGTTTATAGTAATTGTGGTTACACAGATATTAGTCAAAATATTTTCAATGGGTGTATTATTTTTCACTAATCCCTCTGTTCATTGTCAAGGGTATATTGTGTGACATGTAAATTATGCTTCAATGAAGTTTTTTTTTTTAAAAGAGCAAACCACAAATTTAATTTTTTTTAAAGAAAAGCAAACAAAACAGCCTAATTAAAAAAGCAAGTTTGCAACATAACCTCACAAGAAAAAGAATTCTGTCACACATTTTAATTCAATACTGATTATGTATCCCAGTAGACATATATCCATATACTACAGACAAAAGTGAACTAAAAGAAATGTTGTTTCAGTCAGACTTGTATTACTAACAGCAACAGACGGAATAATTTCAGAACTATTTTATGCATATTCTAGAATAAAGCAAATAAATGTATTCACAGCATTAATAGTATTAGGAACCAAGCAAAGAGATATAAATACAAAATCAAAGGTCACTAAGAAAAAATTCAGTAATATTAAATGTGAATTGGAAATAGCAATATAAATTCATGAAAATAATAATACCCCAGCTATAATGAATACACCCAGTGTCCAGTTTCAGGTTTGTTTTTTGTTTTTTTTGGTTTTTTTTTTTTTTTTTGAAAAGAGTTTTGCTCTTGTTGCCCAGGCTGAAGTTCAATGATGTAATCTCAGCTCACTGCAACCCCTGCCATCACCCCTCACCTGGCCCCGCTGAGTTCAAGCGATTCTCCTGCCTCAGCCTCCCAAGTAATTAGTATTACAGGCGCCCGCCAACATGCCCAGCTAATTTTTTGTATTTTTAGCAGAGACGGGATTTCACCATGTTGGCCAGGTTGGTCTCACACTCCTGACCTCAGGTGATTCCCCCCACCTCGGCCTCCCAAAGTGCTGGGGTTACAGGCATGAGCCACTGCACCCAGACTGTAGTTTCAGTTTTTAAACACTATTTTCCACTAAAAGGAATGAAGACTTTTTGGAGAAATGGATGATCCCATGTCTGGAAGTGAAAAGTATGAGTCCTGAACTTTTTTGTTCAAGAAAGCACTTACAGACTAGAAGGAGTGTGTTCAAAGGACATAAGAGGCAGCGTAAAGGGCCTCAGTGGCCAAATTATGGATAACTGGAGCATCAAAGCAATACTTATAATTGATTGTAAAACAAGTGACTAAGCAAAACCCATGAGTACATAGTAATAGTCACAGAGAGATATTTATTTGCCACCACTAGAGGCAATTATTACACCAACCCTTTTTTTTTTTAAATTGGTCATTATAGTTCTTTTTCAGGAATATCAGCTAATGATAGAATTAGAAAAATCACCATTTTGCAACTTTTGGTAAAATAATTCAAGCAAGAATCGTCAATGGTTACGCACACAGGGCCCAAGCATGTCTCCACAGATGATGTGCTCATTGTCAAAAACACACCATCCAATGGTGAGATCAGCATGACCACCCTCGGCCGCTGATCAGACTTAGCGTCACTAACAGTGGACAACCCGGTGGGACATTATGGTTTAAGAAGCACCCAGCATCGCCTGGCAGCTGTTTAAATAAGCTTGACCGTACCTAAGCATTTGGATCTGACTTCCATGGGGCACAAGGAAGTGAATGACATCACAAAGAAATAATCAGTCAAATTCAGGATGTAGGCATTCCACAAAACGACTGGCCTTGACTGACTCAAAAAAAAAAATTAAAAGTCGGTGTCATCAGAGAGGGAGAGGAAAACTGGAAGATCATTCCAGACTAAAGAGACTAAAAAGATATAAAAGCCAGCAGCACTGTCCACACCTTCATTAGATGCTGGTTTAAAAAAAAATTTTTTTTTTTTTTAAAAGAACTTAGAGGACAACTGGAGAAATCTGAATATGGACTAGATAACAGACACCAAACTGAACTATCTAAAACTTTCTTAGCTGTGATAACAGCGTGTGGTTATAGAAAAGGATGTCTTTATTCTGAGCTTCATGCTGAAAATTTTACAGGTGAAGTGCCGTGATGCTGACAACTTTCTTTTCACTGGTTCATATAATCTACACATAAAGAAGCAGCAAATATAACAACATGTTAACAGTTATTACTGTTCTTGCAACTTTTCTGTACCTTTGAATTTTTAATAAAAAATAAGAAGGGAAAAGAAAGAAGCAGAAGATAATGACCATCTTAAAGCCTTATTGCAGAGAGGACCAGCACTCTACCCATCTCTGCAGGTGTTACAAAATGAACTGCATAATTCATGCGTTAAAATCAATTTATATGTTGAAGCCCCAGCTTGGAGTACCTCAAGTGTGACTCTATTTGAACATAGGGTCTTAAAGAAGTCATTGGGAAAATGAGGTCATTAGGGTGTCCCCTAATCCACTATGACTGGTGTCCTTCTAAGACGTTTGGACACAGACATGGACAGAGAAGACCATGCAGAAGACACAGGGGGAACGCAGCCGTCTGCAAGTCAAGAAGAGAGGCCTGCAAGAAACCAACCCTGCTGACACCTTGATCTTGGACTTCCAGCTTCCAGAACAGTGAGAAGATAAATGCCTGTTGATTAAGCCAAGCAGTCTGTGGTACTTTGTTATGTCTGCACTAGCACAGTAACATCATGATGGGGAAGATTTCTGGGAAAAGGAGAAAGACTGTTCCCCTAATCCAAAAGGAAGAACAGTTT